CATTCTTATGAATGGAGAAAAGATTGAAGTTGTCAAGGACTTAATTCTTCTTGGATCAACTATCAACACTCATGGAAGCAGCAGTCAAGAAATCAAACGATGTATTGCGTTAGACAAATCTGCTGCACAAGACCTTTTTAAAGTGTTGAAGAGCAAAGATGTCCGCTTGAAGACAGGTGCACCTGACCCAAGTCATGGTATTTTCAGTAACCTCATATGCATGTGAAAGCTGGACAGTGAATAAGGAAGACCATAGAAGAATTGGTACTTTTGAGTTATGGTGATGGAGGATAATTTTTAAAGTGCCATGGGCTGCCAAAAGAACCAACAGATCTGTGTTGGAAGAAGTGCAGCCAGAATTCTCCCTGGAGGCCAGGATGGCCAAACTTCGTCTCTCATACTTTGGACATATTGTCAGGAGGGACAGTCATTGGAGAAGAATATCATGTTTGGTAAGGTGGAGGGTTAGAGAAAAAGAGGAAGACCCTCAGCGAGATGGATTGGCCAGGTGGCAGCATCATTGGACTCAAGCCTGGCAACAATTGTGAGGTTGGCCCAGCATTCGGCAGTGTTTCATTCTGTTGTTCATAGGGTCCATATAAGTTGGTACCGACTCGATGGCACCTAACAACAACAACATCTTCCTGTTTTGAAACTACATTAGTGCCTATAAACTGACTTTAAATCATAGCTGTTTTGAAGGGTTGAACATTTATAGCAATGGAAAAAGTAATTATTGCTTATGCTCTTGTTTAATTAATTTCATTGGTTTTTTACTAGATAGTCTCTGAAGAAAACACCATGAAAGATACTGATATCACCAGACTGGTATATGCCCACCTCCTGTGCATATTTTCAATTATTCTAAGCACCTTACTTCCATCACTCTTTTTGGAGAACTTCTCAATATTGGAAACCCACTTGACATGGTTGTGCATCTGTTCTGCTTTTGTAACTGCTGTCAATCTAGTATTGTATTTAATAGTGAAGCCAAATGCACCCTCTAAAAGAAGTTCATTATCACACAAGGTAAGGTTTATTTCTTCATAACGGATCATTGAATGGGCTATTTAAGGGGGAGGCGGGACTTCTGGTGTGATGCTGTAGGATAACCAGTCGACTGCGAACCACATGATTGGATGTTCAAACCCACCAGCTGCTCATTGAAAACCCTGTCCAGGGTTGCTCTGAGTTGGAATTGACTCGACAGTGCTTGAATAACAACATTTTTTCTTTAAATGCAAGAATAAAATATTAGTTCAGTACTCACTAATCAAATGTTCCTTTTTCAGATCAGTAGACTATTTCTTGCTAAAAGTCTGCTCACAGTGTTTGGTAGATGTTTGCTCTGCAGTAATTGTAAATTTATTATTGTTGTGTGCTGTCAAGTTGGTTCTGACTCTTAGCAACTCTGAACAGGGTTTCCAAGGAGCGACTGGTGGATTTGAACTGCCAACCTTTAGGTTAGCAGTCCAGTGCTTATCCTATAGCTCCACACCAGGATGTCTGTTGTGAAATTAATTTATTTTATTTTTGCATTTCTGAAAAACACTTAGTGGGTTTTCCAGGAATTGTAGCATAAGTGTCCCTGGGAGCTCTTTATTTTGAACACAGCCTTCCTTGATGAAACAGTAGTAAAATTTTCAGTTATTAGAATCTATATCTGCACCATTAGTTCACGGCAGTGTGACATGTTGACTATTTAAATTAATAAATTTCTCACTTGAAATTATTCAATACTGTGTGTAGGATCTCTGGTAGGTAACTTCAGACAGATATTGCTCTGTGATTCAAAAACCTCCATGGCTGTGATTTACAATTGTAACTTTTTAAGCTTCAAATCTGAGTCCTGATGTGTCACTGTAGGATTGGAAGTTCAAACCAACCAGCTGCTCCTTGGAAATCCTTTATAGGGTCACTGTGAGTTTGAACCGACTCAGTGGCACTTAACAAAAAGCTTCAGATCAAGCAATGCTGATTTGCAAGCAGGAAGGTCTTTTTACAGATGGATCTTATTTGTAGTAGCATGAATATGATCTGGGGGGTTATTTACTAATTTTATTTTTTTGGTACAGATTTCCTAGGAAATTTTCAAAAATAAAATAAGTTATCTGCCTTATTTTTAATTTGAAAACATTTCATGTACTATGTCAGCAGCTCTTTAATAATTAAAGGACTGTGTTTTGTGTTTTCTTGTATCTTTTATCGATAAATATTTCCTAAGTATTGACTAAAAACAGAGGCTCTTATATGGCATAGAAATGGAACCCTAGTATTAGCTGGGTCTGGGACATAGGAGGGTGATCATCTTTGCCTTTTCGCCTTTTTACTATACCTGTTGCGGGCTGTGCGCTTAACTATAGTCAGGATGTGCCGTTTGACTCTTCAGTACTCAAATACAAAGACAAATCAAGTGTTGCACACACTGTGGTAATGAATATAAATAAAATAGAATAATTTTATCTTCTAAATGTTCTCTTGAGCCTTCAAATTATTTGTTTCTTTTTTAGGTAGCCAGATTTTTGAAATGCTGTATCTACTTTCTTATGTCCTGTTTCGGCTTTCATGTAATATTTGTTCTGTATGGAGCACCACTAATTGAGTAAGTCTGAGATTTTTACCTCAAGGCAATTCCTTTTTTTTTTTTTTTTTTTCAAACTTTATGTTGTTGTTATTGAGAATCTATGCAGCAAAACATAGAGCAATTCATCAGTTTCTGCGTGTACCATTTACTGACAGTGATTACATTGTTCGAGTTGTGCCCCATTCTCTCACCCTTGTCTCAGGTGTTCGTCCCCTGCCCTCTAAGAGTCTGAATTGCTGTTATCAGGTTGATCCCATATATGTAGTTCTTAAAAGAACATAATGCTCAAGGCTCACTTTTTTTGTTGTTTAAACTAGTTAAGCTAAATGATTGCTCAGTTTTAATGCAATGCTAGAAAAGGAAAAGAAAAACAAAGAAAGAGGGCTCACACTTCGTGGTTTTAACTCTGGTAGCATAGTGGTTACAAATTGGGATGCTAATCTCACGGTCAGCAGTTCGAAACTACCAGCTGTTCCGCCGGAGAAAGATGAGGCTTTCTGCTCCCATGAAGATATACAGCCTTGGAAATCTCTATGGGTCAGAACTGATTCCACGGCACATAACAAAAACATATACAGTTGTGTGCTAGATTGATTTTAATAGCTTCCCTTTCAGTAGTAAAACTATTTGTAGTATTTATTTTGGTGGGTGGCCCATACCAGTCTAAGAAAATATTTTTATATTAAATTTTTTTTTAACTTTTTACTGTGAATTGAATGAAGGTTTACAAACAAGATCATCAGCTTTACGTTCAACAGATCGCAGAGTTTGTTTCATCTAAGTGATTACAGTCCCCTCCTCATGAAAACAGTTTTCCCACTTCCTTCCTGTGGTTCCTATTTGCAGTCCATCCACCTTCCTCTAGCTTTTCAATTTTGTCTTTAGGGAAATGTTGCCCTTTTCAGTTTGAATGATTGACCCTTTCATGGTGAGCATACCTTGCTAGTGTTGTTGTCCCTTCCTAAATCTCTCTACTGCTTGGCTGAAAATTGGGCGAGTTCCTTGCCAGACCTGAGGATAGTCAAGGGTCATAATCTCAGGTTCCTCCCGTCTCTTTCTGACCATTAAGCCTAGTCTTTTTTTTTATTATTAAACAATTTTAATTTTTGTTCCACATTTATTCCCACTCTGTCCGGAATCCTCTAATGTGATCCTTTTCAGAGCAGTTGATAGTGGTAGCTGGACACTGTCTAGTTCTGCTCGCAGAGTCTTGGAGACTGCTGTTCCTTTAGTCTGTTGGACTAATTGATTCCAAGCCCTTCAGTTCTCATCACTTTTCCTTCTTCTGCACAAGGAGAGACCAATAGCTGCACCTTACACCACTGCTCATGAGCTTTCGATTTCAGGATCCCAGTTGCTACCCACCCAAGCAGGATGTAGAACATTGTGTTTGTGGACTGTGTTATGCCATTTGACCATGGTGTTCCCTGAGACTATGCTTCTGAGCCCCCAGGCCCAAAAACTCATTGCCTTAAGATATTTAGGAATGTCTAGAAACTTTTCATCATTTTGCTTATTGTACATTGTATATGCTACCATAGTTATAATTGTTTGTTTTTTTCATGTGTGTGCATACTTTAGCATATTTTACAATAACGTTTTATGTGTTTTGTTTTGCTTTTTCTAGGTTGGTGTTGGAAACATTTTTATTTGCAGTTACTTTGTCTACTTTCACTACTGTGCCTTGTTTATGTCTGTTAGGACCAAACATCAAAGCCTGGCTAAGAGTTTTCAGTAGAAATGGGTATGTTTTCATTTTGTATTTTAATGATATTTGGAATCAGTTTTAAAAAATCATTGAAGTGTTTATCTGTTCACAGCAGCTTGCTATTTTTCTATGAGTTTTTTCAGCACTGTGGTTCTCGGCTGCCAGAAGCCACCTCATTCAGGAGTTGAGGGTAGGGAAGTGCTGCTATGTGTTTATTATTGTTGCTAAGTGCCATTGAGTCAGTTTTGACCCATAGCGTCCTGTATAGGGTTTTCAAGTAGCAGCTGGTGAGCTGGAACCACTGACCTTGTGGTTCAAACGACTTTGCAATCCAGCGTATTAGCCCACAGTGCCATACCAGGACTCCAGTATGCGTTTTGTTGTTAGGTGCCATCGAGTCGGTACCAGTTCATAGCAACCCTATGTACAACAGAACGGAACACTGCCCAGTCCTGGGCCAGCCTCACAGTTGTTGCCATGCTTGAGCCCATTGATGCTGCTACTTTGCCAATCCATCTCACTGGGGGTCTTCCTCTTTTTCTCTGACACTCCACCTTACCAAGCATGATATCCTTCTCCAGCGACTGGTCCCTCCTGACAATGTGTCCGAAGTATGAGCGATAAAGTTTGGCCATCCTGGCCGCTAAGTAGCACTCTGACTTACTTGCACTTCTTCCAACACAGATCTGTTTGTTCTTTTGGCAGCCCATGGCACTTTCAATATTCTCCTCCAACACCATAACTCGGGGGTTCACATAGACTGTTCCTCTTCTTCAGCAAGATCAGCTCTGCCTTGTTCTGTCATTGTTTTATATGATAAAGTTACACATAACCTTTTGTTTGAAAAAAGTTTTTATTTCCAAGAGGTAACTTGGAAATACTGTTCTGGATAAATTTGTACTTGGCAAAATTGCTATAATTTCTACAAATTGTAAAGCAGAAATGGAGCCCACAATGTAGAAATATTTTGTATAGTAAATATAATTTCTTGTTTAGCATCTTTAACATCAAAGTCTAAGGTTTATAGATTTTTATTTCATTAGTGGCCATACCTGTTTTCAGCATGTTGTTGTCGTCAAGTGCCGTTGATTCAGTTTTGACTCAAAGTCACCCTGTATGGGGTTTCCGAGGAGTGGCTGGTGCATTTGAGTCACTGACCTTGCAGTTCAAAGCAACCTTGCCTGAAATCTGACAGAAAGTTAATATCAGATGCAAATAGTTATCATTTATAACCCACACAATGAGCTGAGATAGCAGCTGTTAGATTTCTTTCTTTTTTTGTGTGTGTCTAGAAATTTTCCATCGAGATATATTGAGATATATTCCACATGCCATATAGTTCTTTATTGAGATATATTCCACATGCCATATAGTTCGTATATTTTAAGTATATGATTCAGTGATATTTTCAGTATATCCACAAATGTTTGCAACTCACCACAGCCAACTGTAGAACATTTTTATTACCTCAAAAAGAAACCTAATGCCCTTTCGCCTTCATATACCTCCTCGCCCAAACTCTCCATCCCTAGGCAACCATTTTCTGACAGAACACAGTCTACATTTGGTCTCTATAGTGCTTATTCTGGACATTTCTTATAGATGAAATCATACAACATATGACCTTTTGTGCCTGGCTTTTTTCACTCGGTGTAATGTTTTCAAGGTTCATCCATGTTGTGGTGTTTATCAGGACTTCTATCCTTATCCCTATTAACTGTATGTTCCTAAATGCAAAAAAGTAGCAGGTAATCCGAACTGACGTGACTTTATTATAGGAACCCTAAGTGAGAAAAAATTGATATTGGTGCTGTTACAAAGTAGTTAATAGAAAATAATACACTTATTTGATTTCTTTTTGTCTTGATCATTTATTAAAATACAAGGGGGCTTCATAAAGTTTGTGGAAAAATTCCATTGTCTTTGTTAAATTTTTATTGTGAATTAAATAAAGGTTTACAGAGCAGAACATCAGTTGTACATTTAGCAAATCCTACACTTCATCTCAATGATTGCAATCCCCTCCGTGTAACAGCAGCTGTCCTATTTCCATTTGCCCTCCTTCCCTTCTCTTCTCAGCTTTGTTTGTCCTTTGATACGTAAATGTTACCATTTTGACCTGGATGATTGACCATTCCATGGTGAGCATACCTTACTGTCTGCTGCTTAACTGAAAATTCAGCCATAAGGGTGAGTGCTGTTCCAGATCTGAAGGGTAGTTGAGGGTCATAGTCTCAGAATCCTTTAGTCTCTTTCTGACTAATAAGCTTGGTATTTTTTATAATTTTCAGTTTTGTTCCACACTTTCTTTCACTCTCTGGGGGACTTTCTAATGTTAATGTTATCCCTTTCAGAGCGGTTGTTAGTAGTAGCTAGACACCATCTAGTTCTTCGGGTCTCAGACTCACGGTGACTGATGTTCTCTATTGGTCTAGTTGAGTCCAAGCATCTTCAGCTTTCATCACTCTTCTTTCTTCTGTGCATTGAGAGACCAGTAGTTATACCGTAGGTAGCTGCTCATGAGCTTTCAAGATCTCAGTCTTTACTCACCAAAGTCCTGAGCCTATGGCCCTGATCCCCAGGCTCCATTATCTTTTATCTCTTAATTCCATTTCCCACCAACTTTCTAAAGCCCCTCGTGTGTGTGTATTTATATATATGGTTGTGATGGTTGTGTACCACTGAGTTGTTTCTGACTTGTAGTGACCCTGCATAAGGTTTCCAAGGCTGTAAATCTTTGCAACAGCAAAAAGCCTCATCTTCCTCCCAAGGAGCTTACTGGTTGACTTGAATTACTGACTTTGTGGTTAACAGCCCATCTCGTAATCTACTACACTACCAGGGCTCCTTGATGTTTATATATGTTCTTGTTGTTTAGTGCTGTTGAATGGGTTCTGACTCATAGCAACCATGTATAAGTTTTCTGAGGAGTGACTGGTGGATTTGAACCACCAACCTTGTGGTTCAAGGTGGCCTTGCGGTCCAGTACTTATCCTATGGTGCCACACCAGGATTCCATATTTATATATATACAACCAAAACCCCAAACCCATTGGCTAATCAAATTGAATGAGTGGTGAGAATAAAGCAGTTAGAGATGATTTGATAGATATCCACTGCCAGTCTGTCAGGTTGTTGTACTGTGTGTTGCTATTATGCCTTGTGTGTTGCTATTATGCTATAAGCTACCCTACTGGTATCTTAAAATACCACAAGGGTTACCCATGGTGGACAGGTTGCTGCAGGGTTTCCAGACCAAGACAGAATAGGAAGAAGGAAAGGCGGACCACTTCTGAATGGTTAGCCACTAAAACCTTATGAATGGCAGAACAATGTCTGATTAGTGCTGGAAGATGAGCCCCTTACAGTGGAAGGCACTCAAACTGTCTCCTCAAAGTAGAGTTGACCTTAATGATGTGGATGGAGTAAAGTTTTTGGAACCTTCATTTGCTGGTTTGGCACAACTCAAAATGAGAAGAAACAGCTACACACATCCATTATTAATCACAACCTGGAATATGTTAGGTATGAATCTAGGAAAATTAGAAGTCATCAAAAATGAAATGGAGAAGTCTTGAAAAATGTGCCCTTTGGTTGTTTAAATGACTGTGTAGTCCTGCATATTTTTTGTGTACATCAAGGGAGAAAGGGGAGGGAGTAGAGGCAAATACTGTTGGTCGATGGTGTGTGGAGGAGATTGGGGTCATTACAGTGAAGCAAGTGTGATTGGTTGTGTGTAAAGCCGACTTTCTGCAATGTAAACTCTTCAATTCAAAATAAATGTTTTTTAAAAAATGAGATGGAATACATAAAAATTGATCTCCTAGGCATTAGTGAACTGAAATGGACAGGTATTGACCATTTTGAATCAGACAATAAAATGATTTACTACACCAGACATGACAAACTAAAGAGGAATGGCATTACATTCATCATTAGAAAGAGCATCTCAGGATCTGTCTTCAAGTACATTGCTGTCTAATAGGAGAATATCCATATGCCTACAAGGAAGACCAGCCAATACCACTGATACTCAAATTTGTGTGCCAATTTCTAAAGCCAGTGATAATGAAATTTAAGCGTTCTACCAATTTTCCTTAGTCAGGTGTGGCAATGTAGGATAAGTACAGGACTGCTAATCACAATGTCAGAGGGTCAAACCCACCAGCCACTCCTCAGAAACCCTATAGAGGGTTGCTGCGAGTCAGAACTGACTCCATGGCACTTAACAACCGACTTGTTCAGTCTGAAATTGATTAAAGATTCAACCAAAATGCATAGATAACTACTGGTGATTGGAATGAAAGTTAGAAACAAAGAGGATGGATCAGTAGTTGGAAAACATGGTGCTGGTAAAACTGGAAATCCATTTGCAGAAGAATGAAACAAGGCCCATATTTCCACCATTTACAAAAACTACCTCAGTATGGAATAAAGACATAAATGTAAAACCTAGAACTTAAAGAGCACCAGTGGAAAAAAATAGTGACATACTTGCTGCTGCTGTTAAGTGCTGTTGAATTGGTTCCAACTCATAGCAACTCTGTATAGAGTTTCCAGAGCAGCTGGTGGATTTGAACAGCTGATCATGTGGTTCAAACCAACCTTGTGGTCTAGTGCTTATGCTACAATGCCACACCAGGACTCCAGGGTCAAACTTAGCGGTTCTAATTTATAGCAAAGATTCACTGTCACATAACTGAAAATACACAAGAAGCAGAAAACAAAGTAGATGACTAGAACCTTAAAATTAGACACGTGCATCAAAAGATTTCACCAAAAGAGTAAAAAGAGATCTCAGAAACTGGGAAAAAAAATTGGCAATAAAATATCAGGCAAGGGAATACTCTCCAAAATTTATAGAACACTTCAGTACCTCAACAAGAAGACAGTCCAATTTAAAAATGGGCATAGGGTATGAACAGACATTTCACCAAAGAAGATATCTAAATGACCAGCAAACATGAAGAAATGTTCATGTCATAAGCTATTGTTGTTGTTGTTAAGTGCCATGGAGTCAGTTCCAACTCATAGTGACCCTGTTCAGGGTTTCCGAGGCTATAAATCTTTACGGGACAGAAAGCCTCGTCTTTCTCCTGCAGAGCAGCTGGTAGTTTCGAACTGCTGACCTTGTGGTTCACAGCCAATTCATAACCACTAAGCTACCAGATCTCCTTGTCATAAACTATTAGAGAAATGCAAATCAAAACAACAAGGAGATAACATCTTGTTAAGTGCCATTGAGTCAGTTCTGACTCAACTCATAGAGACCCTGTGTAGGATTTTCGAGGTGCAGCTGCTGACCTTGTGGTTCACAGTCCAGTGCTGATCCTACAGCACCACACCAGGAGTGAATATATCAAGTCAGTTCCGACCCATAGCGATCCTGTATAGGGTTTCCGAGACGCAGCTGGTGAGCTTGAACTGCCGACCTTGCAGTTCAAACAACTTTGCAGTCTGGCTCATTAACCCATAGTGCCACACCAGGACTATATGTTCATATATATAAATTTGTACGTAGCCATAGAAAATTATGCATATTTGTGCATGTGTCGGCTATTTCTAGGAGGATTATAGTTGGTAATAGTAGTTACTTCTAGGGGAAAGGAACCAGGAAGTGATGATATGAGTAGGAGGAAGATTTCCACTACAAATGTTCTTTAGAATTTGACTCTTTTACTACATACCAGGGGGCTTCAAAAAGTTCATGGAATCACGGAATTGAGAGATATTGCAGTGTTTCTGAAGTATTTATTTGTGTTACTAGAAGTTTGATTCTCCAGCAGCTGAGATACATCCCACCAGTGATTGATGTATTTGTGTTTTACAGGGTTACATCTGTTTGGGAGAATAGTCTCCAGATCACAACAGTTTTCAGTTTCTTAGGATCATGGCTTGGAGCATTCCCTATTCCGCTGGATTGGGAACGACCTTGGCAGGTTGGTTTCAGGAACTTAAAACAACAAATTCAATGTGTGTACATTGATAGGAAAACTGGTAAAGCAAACAGGTACATATATATAATTTTTTTACATACAGATGTTTGTCTTTTAACACCCATCTGCATTCTGAAATATGACATCATGTGATTTGGATGTTGTATGGACACCTGTGTTTTGAGGACTTGGTGACACACTGGCCTCCCCGAGGGCAGCTGTGACGTACTTGGCCCAGGTGGGTCCCACCTAGCTATCGCCATCTTCTCTGCTGAACCAGATGCAGGGAAGGCTAGCTTGCCTGTGAGAACCTGCCCTGGGAGGGGACAATGTAGGCCAAGGGGACCTAAGAGCGTCTAAACCAGACCGGAGGTGCCTGAGACCCTACAGGACCATACCAGCAGAATGCAGAGACTAGACTTGCTGAGTCCCTGGATCTGAGGGGGACCAGGTTCGGAGTCTGGGTCTTGGCCTCCATTGCCACAGACAAGGTGGCTTGTCAAGACGAAAGTCTGGCATCCTGATACTCAGGCACCTGGGTGCCTGGACCTACAGATATGTATGTGGTTGGACTTTGGCTGGATGAACACATATCGTATAGGTATAGATGGATTTCTCCACTGATAAGGATTCTAAGACCCTCTGTCACTGTTAGCTGGGTGACATTTTACTGGGCCATATCCTAATGCCACAGGCATCCCAGGTCAGCCTGACACTATGGAATGAGAAGAAAATGATTTTTCTCATCTCTTGTCTTTCCTGCCTCTTACTTTCCAGCTACTTTTTTTACACGTATAGATGAAGAAACAAAATTAGTAGTCTGTACATATTTCTAGGAGTTTAAAAAAAAGACTAGCAGTTGCAGGAATTCTCTGATTTCGGCTTTGACATTCGCTGCCATTATTGTTTTAGATTCATGTTTTCTTGCTTGATGGCCATATCAAATGCCAGTTGAAATATTTTTTAAAGGCCTACAGTTTTAAAAAGATATGTGATATAGGTGGGAAGTTATAGCCATCAAGGGTTTTATTTCCTCTCAGTAGGGAGCAGAAAGCCTCATCTTTTCTCATCATTGTACAGTGACTGATAGGCTTGAACCGCTTACCTTGTGGTTATTAGTCCAGTGCATATCCTACAGAGCCACACGCTCCCTAGTGAATTGCTTGTTGTTGTTGTTAAGTGCCATCAAGTTGGTTCTGACCCATATCAACCCTATATAGGGTTTCCAAGGAGTGACTGGTGAGCTTGAACCACCAACCTTGTGGTTCAAACGACTTTGCAGTCCGGCTCATTAGCCCACAGCGCCACACCAGGACTCCAAATGAGTTGCTAGCTGGATTAAATTATTGGTAAATAACCTCACCTAACTGCCAACTTTGAGGTCCATTCTTAGCATGTCAGTTAGGTGGGTTTGCCTTTTCTTATGTTTTCTTCATCATCTTGTGTGTGGTAGGAACCCCTGAAGTTTGAGAGTATGTGGCATCCCTGATACCCTTTCCACGGTTTTAGTGCTCAAAATACTTATTTTATCTTTCTTTGGCCATGTAAGTTAACACTGGGAGACAGGCATCTATGTGAACTTGAATTGTCAATGTGGAGACGTCATCTGTACTTCAGTCAACAGGTGTCAATGATTTCTAATTTGTGGGAGTCCTGGTGTGGCGCTGTTGGCTAATGCATCAGACTGCAAAGTCATTTGAACTGCAAGGTCGGTGGTTCAAGTTCACCAGCTGCTCCTTGGAAACCCTATACAGGGTCGCTATGGGTCAGAATCTACTCAACGGCACTCAACAACAACAACAACAATGTAATTACAGCAGATAAAGAATCAAATTATACTGAATAAAAATTTTCTGCAGTTCAAATATTTATGTCATCAGTATATGTATAGACTGTTGTTAAGAGTCTTGTTGCTAAGTGCTGTCAAGTCAGTTCCGACTCATAGTGATCCTGTATAGGGTTTCCAAAGAGCAGCGGTTGGTGAGCTTGAACTGCCAACCTTGCAGCTAAGTGCATTAACCCACAGTGCCACACCAGGACTCCAGCATATATACTATATACATACATACTGTTTTAAGTGCCATAAAGTCTGTTTTGATCTGTTTCTATCATAGCAACCTTGTAGAGGATTTCTGAGGAGTAACTGGTGGGTTTCAATCACCAACTTATTGGACACTTTTGTTGTTGTTAAGTGCCGTCAAGTCGGTTCCGACCCATACCACCCTGTATAGGGTTTCCAAGGAGCAGTTG